AAGTGTGGGGAAAGTTTCACCGATAAATCATTGCTCCTTGAACACCGAAGATCACATCCGGGAGACAAGCGATACGGATGCTCCATGTGCGAGAAGAGATTCAACAAGAAAGCTTGTCTTCTTGCACATGAGCGATCCCACACAGGAGACAAGCCTTACCAGTGTTCAGATTGTGGCAAGGCCTTCGGGCAGGAATCGTCTCTGATTACGCACCAGAGGACCCACACTGGGGAGAAACCCTATGAATGTGTGGAGTGTGGGAAGAGCTACCCCTGGAAAACATCTCTGGCGGTTCATCAGAAGATTCACGCTGGCGAGACGTACTCGTGCCCCGTGTGCGAGAAAACCTTCAATCAGAAATCTTTACTTCGGATACACAAGAGGATCCACACGGCGGAAAAACTGTACAAATGCTCGGACTGTGACCAGAGCTTCACCCTTGAAAAATACCTTAATGCGCACAGGGTGAGGGCTCACACCCGGGAGCGACCTCACGCCTGCTCGCACTGCGACAAAACCTTCATCTTTAAATATTCTCTCATCGAACACGAGCGCATGCACACAGACGAGAGGCCTTATGAATGCTCCGACTGTGGCAAACGCTACAATGGCAAAGCTGCCCTGGTGGTCCACAAAAATACACACGGCGGGCAGAAATCCTACCTGTGTCCTGAATGCGGCAAGAGTTTCAAAACCAAGTGTGCCTTGACGGGTCATGAGAAAAGCCACAGAGGAGAGAAACCCCACAAGTGTTCGCACTGTGACAAAAGCTTCTTCTGGAAACACCGCCTGATTCTGCACGAGAGAGTTCACACAGGGGAGATGCCCTACCAGTGCTCGGAGTGTGGTGAAAGCTTCCGTTACAGAAACAACCTGACCAAGCACAAAAGGAACACGCACGAGAGAACGCGGGTGGTTGGAGAGAGGATCTATCAGTGCTCTATTTGTGGCAAAAGTTTCCGCTGGAGACGGAGTTTCATCTTGCATGAGAGGGCCCACGTGGGAGACAAACCCTTTAAGTGCACCGAATGTGGGAAAAGCTTCATGAGCCGCGTGTCCCTCATCGTTCACAAGAGGATCCACACTGGAGAGAGGCCCTACAAGTGCCCCGAATGTGGGAAAAGCTTCATTAAGAAGCAGGCTCTCAGTAAACACAAGACGGTCCATACAGGCGAGAGGCGATATTTGTGCAATGTCTGCGGAAGAAGGTTCTCCAACAAAGGCAATCTGATGAGGCACACCAAGATCCACACGGGAGAGAAGCCCTACAGCTGCCCCATCTGTGGGAAAGGCTTTATACAGAAAGTATGCCTCATTGAACACGAACCGACCCACAGCAAGGAGAAACCCTTCATCTGCTCCGACTGCGGGAAGAAGTTCAAGCGGAAAAGAGGTTTCCTTCTGCACTTGCGAATGCACCGAGGGGAGACCTTGCAAGAGTCCACCAGGAAGAGCATCAATGGCGGAGATTCCTCCCCGGTGGACGGCAAGGCCCCGGCGAAGGAGAGATGCCACCCGTGCCTGGAATGTGGGAAAAGTTTCCACTCAAGGTGTCACCTCATTATGCACCAGAGGACCCACACGGGAGAGAAGCCGTATCAGTGCCCAGAGTGTGGGAAAAGCTTCAGCCAGCAGTCGTCCCTCAACACCCACCAGCGAGTCCACACGGGCGAGAAGCCCTCTCTGTGTACCGAGTGCGGGAAAAGCTTTCACAACAAAAGCAACCTGGCCCGGCACCAGCGAATCCACACGGGGGAAAAGCCCTTTGCCTGCCCAGAGTGCGGGAAGAGCTTCATTCAGAAAGCCTCTCTGGAGGCTCACAAGGCCACCCACAGCAAGGAAAACCCCTTCTCCTGCGCCGACTGCGGCAAGACCTTCAAGCTGAAAATGTCGCTCCTCACCCACCAGAGGACTCACACGGGGGAGAAGCCCTACGCCTGTTCCCAGTGCGAGAAAAGGTTTATCCGACGCTCTCAGCTGCGCAGGCACGAAAAGGCACACGCAGGTGAGAGATGGATGGGAGCAGAGGTGGACGCAGCTTCCCTCTTTTGTCTGTTGGGGAAGGTAGCTATGGAGAGGCATTTACTTATCATAAGTAACTCAAGGCAGCGAACATAACCTATTGTTCCTTCCTCTTATTTTCCCCACAACAACAATCCTATGAGGTAGGTTGCGCTGAGAGAAAGGTACTAGCCCAGTGATGGCGAACCTTTTAGAGACCGAGTGCCCAAATTGCAACCCCAAACCCACTTATTTATCGCCGGGTGCTGGGTAAGCGTGGCCCACTGGGTGGGCGTTGCTGTGGTGGTCATAGCAGACTGGGTGGGTGTGGCCAATGTGGGCAGGGTCACCTCGATGTTGCTTGTGGGGAGGGACGCCTATGGGGGCCGGGCAGGGTTGGGGGGAGATCCAGGGGGTCTCTGGCAGGTGGGGCAGTGGGCAGGAGGCTCGTCCTGTGGGGTGAGGTGACGCAAGGTGAGGCAGGGAAGGGGTGCCATTGTCGCAGGGCAAGGCGAGGCAGGGGCCGGAGCGGCTGCTGCCTGACACCATCGGCCCACGCACACAGAGGCCAGCGAGCACATGGGGGGCAACAGTGTCCATCAGCATCCACAGCCTGCCCGCCCCTCAACTGGCGCACTCTAGGGCTCCGAAGTCCGCCACCAGAAGTTCAGAGAAGCCGCCTCTGAGCTGGATAGACGACCGACAGCTGAGGAGGCGATGCAGTAGGTCGTGCCCGGGAAAAGGAGAGCATGCGAGACCAGGAGGGATGGGACGGGGGGGGGGAGGGAAACCAGCCATGCTGGGATGCATTTGGCCACGTGGGACCTCGGCGAGTTAGCGGATGGCTGGTTGAAGAGAGACAGTTTCCATTTCCAGGGCATGGTGCGCGTGCCCACAGAGAGGGCTCTGAGGGCCGCCTCTGGCACGCGAGCCATAGGTTCGCCACCACTGGACTAGCCCAAAGTCACCCACCAGCTGGCTTTTATGGCTAAGGCAGGACTAGAACTCACCATCTCCTGGTTTTTAGGCCAGCAGCACTTCACCAAACCGATGTAATTACCGGTGTAATTTTAAAAAACCTATTTAATAAATGTATCCAACTGCCCAACTCAGAAAGTGTTGAGACCCCCGGGCAGCTTAGCAGAAACCAAAGATAACCAAGAATTCGAATTAAAAAAGCAGACAATTATTTAAGGGCAACCAGGACTCAGGTTCATACCCCCTCCCA